TTAAAAGTTTTCATCAGATGAGTGGACTGATCAGCTCTCTTCTGATCAGGAAATAAGACAGAAATATCATCACCAGCACCCTACTCCTGGCCCTGCTGACTTTAGCACCCCTTAAGCTGGCTTCCCAGGTGGCATGACTTTGGTAAAGAACCCGCCTGCCAATACAGAAGACCCAGATTTGATTCCTAGGTAAGGAAGATCCCCTGGAGGAGGGCATGGCAACCCACTCCAGTATTCTTGCCTGGAGAATCCCATGGACAGAGGAGCCAGGCAAGCTATGGCCCATGGTGTGGCAAAGAGTCATGCATGACTGAAGCGACTTAACGCAGCGCACACAGGCTGGCCTCAGATGCTACTTCCCGCGCACATGTCTATTTTTTTTTTTAATAACAAGCAATCACAGCTTTCAAAACAGATTCCTTCTGTGGATTCATGACAAAGAAAGTAAACAAATTGCAGTCATGCCATTTCTGTTGCACACCTTTTTTTTTTTAAACAATAATTGTCTTGATTTTAGGAAAAGGAAGCTCCCAATCCTGCATGTAAGCTCTACCAGGGCAGGGAATATTTGTGGGCTTTGTTCGCTAAGGTATCTCCAGAGCTCAGTGGAGGGCCTGGCACACAGTAGGTGCCCATTAACACGCCTGGTACTAGTCTCGATGTGTCAGCTGGAGCGCATCAGACACAGCCTAGCGCTCATCCCTGGAAACCACTTAAGCAGTGGCAGTTCTTTCCAGAACTCCTTAGACTGCCTGTCAGCCCACATTCCAAACCTCAGTACTCACATGACAGAAAACATCATTTTGAGTGATGGCTTACGGTATCTGGGCCTTGGGAAGAAGGGGCATTGCAGGAAATGCTTGTTTTAAAAAAAGTATGTTTGAACTTTCTTTGACCTTTCCTTTTTATCCTCAAATATCAAAACAAAACAACCAGGAAAGGCTATACAAAATGTTGCACATTTCCTCTCTTTAGAGCGGAGAACTGAGAAGAGAGTGGGGTTATCACTAGGTTGCTGGCTGATAGATATTTTTAACTACCTTTATAATTTTGTACATTGTCTGAAAAAAGCTTTATTTTACAATTAGCAATTATTCCTTTTATAATCAAAGCAAGAAATACCCATTTTGGAAACAAAAAGAAAATGCAGTGGCCAAAAATAATGTATAGGTTTGCACCGATTATCCTATAGCCGTCTGAATGTTTTTCTCCTTAGACCCTAGCCAATGCCTGGAAACAGCTGGCATTCATGAATTTCACAAAATTCAAGAATGAATGAATGAATTGATATGCTTCCCATGATCTCTCTCAGGAAAAATAGGTTTGTTTGTTTGTTTGACTGATTCATGCTCAGTTGTGTCTGACCCTTTGTGACCCTGTGGACTGCAGCCCACCTCCTCTGTCCATGGAATTTTCCAGGCAAGAATACTGGAGTGGGTTGCCATTTTCTCCTCCAAGGGATCTTCCCGACCCAGGGACTGAACCTGCGTTTCCTGTGTCTCCTTTGCAGGTGGATTCTTTACCATTGAGCCATGGGGAAAACTTATGCCGTGATTTTTAATATAATTATATGGATATTTCATTATAATTTTCTGGAGATTTCAGAATAAAGACTTGCCTGCAGTTATCTAGCCATCCTTTCCTTTCCTTGACTGCCTTCACTCAGTATATACTTTACGTATTTGTGTATTCAGATTGGCTGCTGTTAACCCTGAAAGCAGAGACTGGAGCATCCTCTGAGTGCTTTTGAAGTCCACCAACGGTAATCTGGATATTTTGTAGCCAGCAGCTGTGTGCTTTCAGCCAGTTAGTTTGTTGGAAAGTTTACCTCCTCAGTGTACTGGCCTAAACAGTTTTTTGTCCCAAAGTCAAAGCTTTGGTTGGTTTCTGTTTCTTTCACTTTTTTTGACTTCCTCTCTTGAATATGAAAAATGGTGGGGCCCCAGGTGCGCCTGTGGACTTCAGCACAGAGACCCAAGCAGAGAATGGAGGCCCCAGGAGGTTTCAAATTTCATTTCTCGGGAAGGTTTCCTATCGCCTTGGGGAAGCTTGCTCCATCCAGCCTGGCTCAGCACAAACAGCAGTAAGAACCAGCATCCAGACTTCTTTTTTGACCAATGTAGCTTATTCTGAAAAAGATCTTGCATCTTCTCACATGAGAGTTCTTACTCAAGAACTTACTCAAGTTCTTACTCGACTCTCTGATAGTCATCAGGTGGGAGAGAAAACAAACACACTTACTTCTCTGAGGCTTAAATAGCATTTCACAGCTCTAGGGATCCTTTAGGTTGCAATAAAATATAAAAGAAAAACACAAAACATCCAAACAACTGCAAATCTCGTTGCTTCAGCCATTAAGTCCCTGACAATGTTTAACTGTAACCCCTCAAGGTTAAAGATCAACAGGAGGAGTTGCGGGCAAGATAACAAAAGACAACTTCCCCGAAATCACTTTAGTGCCTGGCAATGTTTCTAAGAATTTCTGGGACCTTGTCTCTAAGCCTGTCTCCTCCGTTCAGTGGTCTTCAATGCTTCAGTGTGTAAAAGCCGCTTGGAGAGGTTGTTCACGATGTAGGTTCCTGGGCACTGTCTCCGGAGACTGTGATTTAGGTGGGCTGGGCTGGGGTCCAGGAATCTGACTGAGAACCCCCAGGCCTGCTGCCCCATCTGCCGTAGGGTGCAGTCATGTAGAGTAATGTAGCCCTTCTGCATAGACGCACCTTGGTGAGAATCCGAAAAAAAATGCCTTCCTCTTCTCCAGGCAGATGCAGTCATGTTAGGGCCTCCATCTGATCAAGGAGCACAGGCTGAACTAGCCCCGCTCACCCCTGGGCTGCGTGCCCATGCATCTCAGGAGAATGGGGCATCAGTGACTTTACCATGGACACTTTGTAACCCACATCTCTGGGCTTTTTATTTCTCTTCTGTTAAGAATAACTGTAGGACTTCCCTGGTGGTCCAGTGGTTAAGAATCTACCTGTCAATGTAGGGGACCTGGGTTTGATCCCTGGTCCAGGAAGATTCCACATGCCAAGGGGCAGCTAAGCCCATGTGGCAACTATGGAAGCCCGTGCACCCTCGAACTCCTCAAGAGAAGCCAATGGAATGAGAAGCTCGTGTACCATGACTTGAAGGTAGCCCCTGCTTGCCACAACTAGAGAAAACCTGTGCAGCAATAAAGACCCAGCCCAGCCATAAATAAATAAAATTTTAAAAAATAAAAAGAATAACTGCCAATATAGGGCTTCCCTGGTGGTCTGATGGTTAGGAATCCGCCTTCCAATGCGAGTCACCCGTGTTTGATCCCTGGTCAAGGAACTAGGATCCCACATGCCACGGGGCAAAATAAGTGTGTGGGCCACAACTAAAGAAGCACACGCTCTGCAACTACTGACCCTTTGCACTCCACACGGGAGTCCATGCCCCACACCACGAGGAAGAGACCGTGTGCTGCAGTGAAGACCCGGGAGAGCCGAAAACAAAAGCCAAGAGTAACGGCAGATCAAACCCACTTTAGCAAACACTGCTGGGTGCCCAGCGTGTGAAGTGTCTGTCTTTGATTTACCTGGGGTTCAAGAGAGTCTATAGTTCCCTCTCCATGGTCAGCAACTCTGCCCATCACTGAGTGACTATATGGTTGTTGCATTTCTTGACAGCTTTGACCCCACAGGGCAGAGTGAGTGATGAAAGAGTTGACAGGGGCCACTCAGGAGAAAAGGTAGAATGGAGGCAGGAGGAAGTGCAATGAGGACCTTGGTGGAGAGGCTTGGAAGAGAGACTGGGACTCCTTTCTTCAGAAGACTCCTTTCATGGGATGACCTCAATGGCCAGAAACCTTGCAGGATTTGGTTCACCATTTAAACATCCTCATTTCACCTATTAATAGTCACAATTAATCTTATAACCTGTTTTTCCAGCTTTGGAACACGTCATCTTTCTTTCTTTCTTTCTTTTTTTTCCATTTTTTTTTTTTTATTAGTTGGAGGCTAATTACTTTACAACATTGCAGTGGTTTTTGTCATACATTGAAATGAATTAGCCATGGATTTACATGTATTCCCCGTCCCGGTCCCCCCTCCCACCTCCCTCTCCACCCGATCCCTCTGGGTCTTCCCAGTGCACCAGGCCCGAGCACTTGTCTCATGCATCCAACCTGGGCTGGTGATCTGGAACACGTCATCTTTCTAAGAACAGCCCCTTATCTTGAAAAGGATAGCTCCTTATCTTTCTAATAGTATTAATATACTACACTAATTGCATTAATATTAAACAATGTATAGCTTCCATTTTCCTCTTCTTTCTGGCGTTTATTGATGTTACATTTTATTTTTTTTTTATTTTGATGAAAGCATTTTCATCTCATAACTTCTCATCTTGAGAGCTCACAAATGTATAGTGAGAAATGGTCTCTTTCTTTACACATATAAATAAAGCACTAGAATTTAAGTTTGAGGAATTCTAGAGTGTTTTCCTTACTTTCTTACCAAAAATTCACATTCAAGGATTCTCAAGATTTATTCTCATTCGTTCATTATTCTCATGATTTAGCTAAATCTACAAAATTCCATCTTCTGTTTTCAAGCAGAATAGTTTCAAAACCCAAGTTTCAAAAACCAAGCAAAATATTTACAAAATACAAAGACAATAGACCAGCACAAGTAAACATACCTATGTATGAAATAAACAGTGAAATTCATGACCCAATTATAGACACAATGCCTAATATATGATTCCTGCTGAAAGCAGTATCTAATGATTCAAGACTACCTTATGAAAAGTGTGGTATCTCACACATGCTTGGCACATGTTAAATATGAATCAATTTACTACAATTAAAACAATTAGACAAGAAAACATTGGTCCTTCTGCTGAACCTCAAATAAAAACATTTCTCTATATTTGAGAAATAGAAACAAGGAAATCAAATACTTTTAAAGAGAACTTTCTTTTTTAAGTGCTGAGATAAGTTTTAAAGAAATGCTTCATTTCAAAGTACTTACAATTAAGAAATTGGTTCTGGGCAGCTGTGTCTTGTGGCTTAGAGAATCTCACTAGAAGTGAAAGACACAGGAAAGAAGTGTATTCAACTGCAGTTTGTTTCAGTCAAAGTACATATTCAGCGGTTTTCTACTGGCCAATGAAATCCAGGCAGAATAATTTTCAAAGTAAGTTTCTTTTTCCTTGAAACGGAAACTTTTTTTTTTAAAAAATGTGTTCCTTCTCCTACCTTTTATCAAGTACACTCATATATCTTTTTAAGGTGAAAACAGATTTGATTCATTATATAATTTGATTGATTTTACCTCTCTGGCAGAACTTAGCAATTTTTAAATTTTATCCTTTAACTCAATAAATAAGATTTGGTATGTATTTATTGCCATTTTTAAACTGGGAAGCTTAGGTAGTGTTAAGAGAAAACAAGCTATTGGGAATTTTCTTCTGCCTCTTTGGACTCATTTGTTTTCCCTTGTTGTTGTTATTTAGTTGCCAAGTCATGTCTGACTCTTCGCAACCCCATGAACTGTAGTCCACCAGGCTCTTCTGTTTATGGGATTCTCCAGGCAAGAATATAGTAGTGGATTGCCATTTCCTTCTCCAGGGCATCTTCCCCACCCAGGGATCAAAACTGTGTCTCCTGCATTGGCAGGCGGATTCTTTACCACTGAGCCATGTGGGAATACTTCAGGCATTGTACTAAATGCTTTTTTTTTTTAATTAAGTATTTATTTATTTTGGATTTGGCTGCATTGGGTCTTTGCTGTCACATGTGGGATCTTTAGTTGTGATATGTGTCAACTTAAAAAGATGCACAACATGAGAGTTGCTATTTAAGTTTTCTTTGGGGCCAAATGAGGACCACGGCCCAGGAGACAGCACCTCAGATAGTGCTGAGAAACTGTTCCAAAGTGACAGGAGGGACGGTCGGTATGTATGTGACTTTGGTGAAGGGGGAGTTCATGCAATCAGGCACTTACATTTGCAAAAGTTTTCTGCTAGTCACAAGGAGCTGATGTCCCCATGAAGGGATTTAGTGCTTTTCTAGAGATTAGGAGATGCAAGGATTGGGCTCAGAAAATCAGTTCCTGAAAATATTTAACTCTCTGAAGACCTGTTCTGCCAGTTTTCCCAGAACACAGAGTGCCCCATTCCTGAATTCCCTTCAGGGTGTGTGGAAGGTCAAGAGCTGTGGCAGCATAGAAATTAGTTCCTGCAGAAGTGAAGTGAAGTGAAGTGAAAGTCGCTCAGTCGTGTCTGACTCTTTGTGACCCCATGGACTATACTGCCCATGGAATTCTCTAGGCCAGAATACTGGAGTGGCTAGCCTTTCCCTTCTCTAGGGCATCTTCCCAACCCAGGGATCGCACCCAGGTCTCCCACATTGCGGGCGGATTCTTTACCAGCTGAGCCACAAGGAATTCCTGCAGAGGCAGATGGCAGATGACAACTTGTAGTTGACACATGTGAACTTTCAGTTGCAGTGTGTGGATCTAGTTCCCTGATTAGGGATCAAACCTGGGCCCCCGGCATTGAGAGCACAGAGTCTTGGCCACTGGACCACCAGGGAGGTCCTCTAAATGCTCTTCATGTGTTGATTGATTGAATTTTCCTCACAATTCTGTATGTAAAATTGTATGGCAGCTCAGTGGTGAAGACTTCATCTGCAATGCAGGAGATGTAGGAGATGTGGGTTCAACCCCTGGCTTGGGAAGAACCCCCGGAGGAGGAAATGGCAACCCACTCCGGTATTCTTGCCTGGAGAATCCCATAAAGAGAGAAGCCTGGTGGGCTACCATCCATGGGGTCTCAAAGAGCTGGACATGGCTGAGCGGCTGAACAAACACACACAATTCTGTGGGGTAGGTGTGATTGTCACCTCCATTTAACTGGCAAGGAAACTGAGTCACAGCAATGTTAAGTGGCTAGAAGGTGGCAGCTAGGAATTGGCTGACCCGGGACTCTAGTCTTTGTCTGCTGAGGTCTACACCGCATCCCTCTCCTTACAGTCTGCTCTAGAGAGAAAGATCTGCCATTCCATACAACCTCAGAGGGAATGAAAAGACTGGCCACTCTCATTTCTGAAAGGCTTAAATTATGAATCAGAAATCAAAATGTTATGAAGTTATTTCAAAAAGAAGTTCAAATGTAAAAAAAAATTATATAGAAGCTGGATGTGATGTAGTAAAAGCAGCCGTCGTTTGTAGCTGAGCTAATGCGGATCAAATCCTGGTTGTGCACCTTGATAGCTGTGAGGCCTCTGGAAGTCAGCTCAGAATGTAAACTTTGGTTTCCTTACCTCTAAAATTAGAAGACTAGCCTTTTTGACCAACATCTTAGCAAGGTGGCAGAGGTAGTGTCTGCTCTTTCAGCTTCACTGTGCCACTCAAGGATGACAACAAGAAGAAAGATGCTGGAAAGTCAGCCAAGAAAGACGAAGACCCAGTGAACAAATCCAGGGGCCAGACCAAGAAGAAGAAGTGGTCTGAAGGCAGAGTTGGTGACAAGCTCAATAACCTAGTCTTGTTTGACAAAGCAACATACAGCAAACTCTGTAGCGAACGTCTCAACTGTTGGGTTGACTAACTGGAGAAGTGCCCCAGCTTTCCCTCGTTTTTCATGACTTTGACTTGTTTGAACAGTATCTATGCGGAATTAACCTCTTCTTCAAGGAGCCCTGGGTTCTTTCACCGGAGAATGGTATTTCAAAAAGATCTATTTTAGGCAAGCTCATAGCTGTTGGATTCTGATTGCTTTTGGGGTCCTTTAGTAAAGAGAAGAGACATATGTATATTTACTTATACACATGAATGAATATGTATACATGTACGTACATCCATCACTATCGATCAAAACCATGACTTCATACTGATACTTCTAATTCTAATCCAATTCCATGAGGTTTAATTCTAGCTTTCCTCCTTGTCTTATTTTAAGTTATTTTTCGGACAATGAAAAAGTGAGCTCCTGTTTTCTACAATGTATTTATTTGCTTATTTGTTCACTCCTAGTATGTACACAGGATGCTTTCAGAATTGCTAACCCATACTTCTGTGAGCAACCAATGTACCAACTAGACTACAGTTGTGTACAGTTGTTTTGTTTTTAGCTTTACAGGATCAGGTTAAAGTACTGTTTTCCAAAGTTACTTAGGTTATTTCTTTTCTTTCCTGTCCACTTTGATGTGGTTACTCAGAAAACGGTTATTCCCTCTTCATCTCTGCTGTCCTATTCCCATCCTCCTCCCACCTTCTTTTCCTACCCATCCGCTGTAGGTAACCAGTCTCTTTAGTTTCTGGTTTATCTTCTTTTATCTATGTTGTACTCATGTGGAGAGGAACTGACATCTAGCACATAGCTACAACTTTGAACAATTTTGTGAATATCCCCAAAACCGCTGAACTGTACTCTAAAAGGGTGAATTTTACATGTGAATCATCTGTCAAATTTTAAAAAGCTGTGAGTTAGAAATCTTTTTCGTTCTTAAAAAGAGAACAGTTGGAGCTATGTTCTGTACTGAATGCCGTTTTCTAGTCAGCATCTGGAATAATTGGAGCGATTATTCATAGCAAACAGAGGGCCAGTTTCTTTTGAAACTGTAATTCATATTCTTCTAGCCAGAAAATTGGCTACTATATAAAAATTTTCATAGAAAAATTGAGCAGTTTCCGATGTGAATGAGGGCAAAGCATTTCTCTTTCTCAGGGTTTTCTCAGGGCATGTGTAAATGAATCCTGGCTTCCTTTGCTTTACTCTGGCCTCATTGTTACAGACATTGTTAGAAATCATGGCAGCTCTCCAGGAGCAGTCATATCTTGTCCTAAGAAGACGGCTGCCAAAGATTTTTTGGTTTACGAATTCTTGATTTTAGCTATAGCAAACAAATGATTAAGCTTCCTGTGGAGAAAAGACTAAGAGTCTGTGACCTCTGACTGAGGAGGAACTGGCCGGCACAGTTAATGCAGCGCAGGGAGGGGTCCAGCTCACATAATTATTTATTTCCTGGGGAAGGACAATGAACAAGCAAAGACCAGATGATTTACAACACACTTAAAGGAAAAGAACAATGTATTTTTAAAAATCAAAACAGGTTTTTATTATTTAAAACTTTTTTAATTTTAATTTTTTTAACACCAAAACCAATTTTGTATTGGGATATAGCTAATTAATGGAGAAGGCAATGGCACCCCACTCCAGTACTCTTGCCTGGAAAATCCCGTGGACGGAGGAGCCTGGTGGGCTGCAGTCCATGGGGTCGCTAGGAGTCAGACACGACTGAGCAACTTCACTTTCACTTTTCACTTTCATGCATTGGAGAAGGAATGGCAACCCACTCCAGTGTTCTTGCTTGGAGAATCCCAGGGACGGGGGAGCCTGGTGGGCTGCCGTCTATGGTGTCACACAGAGTTGGACACGACTGACGTGACTTAGCAGCAGCAGCATAGCCAATGAACACTGTTGTGGTAGTTTCAAGTGAAGAGCAAAGGGGCCCAGCCACATATATACACGTATCCATTCTCCCCCAAACCTCCCTCCCATCCAGGCTGGCACATAACAATGAGCACAGTTTTTCATGCTATACAATAGGTCTTGTTGGTTATCCATTTCAAATATAGCAGTGTGTACATGACCTTCCCAAAGCCCCTAACCTCTCCTGTCCCTCTGGCAACCATAAGTTCGTTTTCTAAGCCTGTGAGTCTCTTTCTGTTTTGTAAGTAAGTTCATTTGTATCATTTCTTTTTAGATGTCTCATTTAAGGGACGTCATACGATATTTCACCTTCTCTGTCTGACTTACTTCAGACAGTGTCAGTATGACACTCTCTAGGTTCATCCGTGTTGGTGCTAATGGCATTAGTGAAAGTTGCTCAGTCATGTCAGTCTTTGCGACCCCATGGACGATACAGTTCATGGAATTCTCCAGGCCAGAATACTGGAGTGGGTAGCCTTTCCCTTCTCCGGGGGATCTTCCCAATCCAGGGATTGAGCCCAGGTCTCCTGCATTGCAGATGGATTCTTTACCAGCTGAGCCACCAGGGAAATCCAAGAATACTGCAGTGGGTAGACTATTCCTTCTTCAGCGGATTTTCCCGACCC